GATACAAAATATAATAATTATTCAATTTGTATATCAATCATGGTAATTATAATCGAAAGTGAAAAACCAAGTCATTCAAAATATTTCATATAAGCTATATAGCTTCTTTTTTTTTTTTTTACTACTTGCCAATTATTTAAGACTCAAGTATACCATGATATTTTAAAAAATACTTATAAAAAACTGATAACCTGCTAACAAAATGAAGCAATAATATAAATTTCAATAATAAGTAATAAATGTAACCAAATAGAACAACTTGCATATACGCACAATTCTATTAAATGAGATCCCAAAAAAGTTTTTATTAAAAACGAGATAAAAGTGTAAAAATAATTTTTATAGGTTTTATAATTTATCGCCATAGCGATAATCGCTATGACGATAAATTACAAAGCCCATTTTGATAAAAATTTTAAAATAATTATGCACAAATTTCCCGATATACTTTCAAGGAACCATAACCTTGAAGCAACTTTAAAAAGTCTCTTTTTGTTTGATTAAAAATAATAAAGCATAAAAAAATGTACTTCCGGATAGTCATAGTATTTTTGAGCTGTACTTTTTTTTTTGCCAAAAAACCGTGGCGAAATATAAAATTGTATATTTTATATTAAGAATTATTGTATTAAATTATAAAATCTAGAAGTTTTATGATATTGGACATGTGTATTTTTTTACATATTTGCTTTGCATTTTGCCTAGCCACTAAAACATAAATACAACTAAAAATATAAACGCAGTATGATTTGGCATCAATTAAGGCAGCGCCATGCAGTCTTATTTGAATCAAGGTTATGTAGCAACGTCATTCAGTAGCAAGGTTTTCTCACGTTTTCATAGTCGAACGGATACAATCTAGAAAGATGAGGGTTTTAATCTAGTCTTAGCAAATCAATTTATCCAATAGCTTTTTTCATTCTACTATTTGAGGAGTTGAAATAAAATAGGGTATTTTAAAGACAAAAATTTTAGTCCATAGTGGCATATTTTAGAGTAATTAAGAATATAGAATACACAAACTATATAATGTATGTTAGTTAAAGAAAATTTTAACATTGAACAGAAAATTAATAATGCTGGCTTCACGATATTTTTTCAATTAGTAGTTCAAATTGATGAAAAATATTTACTTTGTGTAAAAAAACAAAATACTTAATCATCACAAAAGATTTTTAGAAATAATTATATGAGCAGGTTTTCAAGATTTAGCCACCAAAGCCAACGTAAACACTAAAAAGTGTAAGTAAAAGAAATTATTCAATTCTTACCTTTTTTTTTTTTATCCTTTTAACAGTTGATTATGATTAATTAACAGTTGAAGATTTGTAAATTGTAAATGACTTATAGAAGATATGGCTCATATTGAGATACCAATGTCATTTGAAAAACCGCATTTAATAAAAGAAGCGGATCTATTTACAAAATTTGCAGGTGTTAGTCTGGATGAATCATTTATAGCTATTCTTTATAGTAAGTTTTCAAGTTAATTAATATGATTTTTTAATATGTAACAAAATTTTAAATTTAATAACTAAATTTAAATAAATTTCAAATTTGTTTTTTTAGCAAATAATAATGATAAATTTGAATTACGAATGTATAGAGTTATAACTAATGAAGTTACAAATAAAAAAGAACTTTCCGAAGAACATTCTCAATCATTAACATTTTTTACTGATGAAGAAGATGAAATACAAGAGCAATAAATAATATTGATGAGATCGAGTCGTTTTTCGAATTGGTCTATCGCTATATCAAATGAAAATAAAGAAAAATATAGATTAATCGCTATATCGTGCATAAGTGATGATGATATGCAAAATTTGCCATATGAGGGTGTAGAAGGTAAATGCGGCTTTACAAAAATTTGGAAAATTGATAACGACTTTAAAGTTACGAAATGTAACAAAGAAATAGAACATGGTGGAATAGTTCAGTTTCTTCCTAAAGTTAATGATAAAGCAGATGATAAAGCCGATGATGAGGCTAACCATGAAGACGATGATGATGCCGATGATGAAGCTAATAATGAATTCATGCTAATTTTGATCAAAGGATTGGGAATATATAAGCATCGTTTATCGTATTCATCAGGTTCCGATGAACTTCTAGATGATGTTAAAATGTTTGATTTTCCTGAAAGAATAGAAGATGCTTTAAAGTATAATTACAGTGATTACATTAGTA